GGCTTAATAAGCCCATCTATTTGCCCATCTATTATTTAATCGATCTATGTATCTATAACAATAGTCTTCATTTGACAATAGGCATCATTTTAAAACATACATCTATTGCAGTTATGATGTCATAATAACATACAATTGTATAAAACACAATTTGCTTAAATCTTTGTTCTCTTTGAGAATCAAACAAAACAGATTTAAATAAAAAAAAGAATGCAAACAAACGAGTGAAATGAACTAAATTGCTGAATTGCTTTTAATTCTAATAAAGGACTGGCTTTTCTAAAGCCAGTTGAGTAGCACTTGAAATGTTTTTGCTCTATGAAACCTGATGTACTTATATGATTCTGTTTTCTTCAAGTTGTATTTTGTTTGGACGAACGCACTTATTGTAAGTCGCTTTTGGATAAAAGCGTCAGCTAAATGCAATGTAATGTAATGTAATGTAATGTAATGTAATGTAATTCACTGGAAGGAGCGACAAGTGAGGAGGAGCAAAAAGTGAACAACAAGGGAGAGGGTTGAACAAAGAGAGAGAGTAGAGGACAGAGAGAGTAAAGGAGATGGAAGAGAGGCTGCAGGTCATGGAAAGGAGAGAGACATGGAAAATGAATGTTGACAATGTTTTGTGATCATTTTAGCTCTTCTGCATGTCCAGATCATTAATAGTAACAATCAACTGATTCTTATGTATTACACTTTCAAAAATAATTGATGCTGACATTGTCAGCCCACTGACATGGTTTGAAATCAATATATTATCCAATGTGTGAACCCCCCATAGGACTTCAAAAGCACCTAACTAGATCATGAAAATCCCCAAAATCTCGGGGGTATCCCCCGAAACCCCCCTAGCATGTTTGGACCTCGGTATTTAGGAAATCCTGGATACGGCCCTGGTTACAGAGTGTTGTTTATTCACAAATAACCCTCTCTGTAAAATCCTAAATTGTAGGATAGTTTGGCCATTAAAACGCTTTATGATTAGATTTCTAGCGAGAAGTATTTATTGTACTTTTAGAATCCACGTCCAGTCGATATGTAGGATCTATAGTGTGATAGATATTACGAAGATGATTTGAGGTTTCGTCAGGAGAACGTGTACAATTTTCCATGTAAAGTTACGGGTTGAAAACAGTATTTCCGGTCTCGACGTTTTCATAATAAAACCAATGATCAAATTATTTAACAGTGATATCTGCAGCACTCATCCACTAAAAAACATCAGTTTATCCTTGTTAATTATACGACATTAATTGGTTTAAATTGTGTACAATGCTTTTGTGTTTTTCCCATAGGGTTTTCTCTTTCGATTCTGAGAGACACATTTATTTTTTCAGAGGTTTTGATAGGCTAAAATCACGCCGCAATGCACGTCGGGATATGAAATCGGAAAACATTAAAAATAATAAAAAATAATACTTTATTCCGAGTGTTCTTGCTTTTCTCTTTGAAAGTCATCACATAACGGCATTGTAATACACGGTTCGGCTGCATTAAATATTACATATCTGCCGTAGATATTTATTTATAGAGCCCTGATCAGAAGACCTTTTGACAAACTGGAAGAGATGCCGCCCAAACTGAATACGTGACGTGGACCATAAATATATCAACAATTAAACAACATCTTTCATTTATTTTCACACAATACGTCTCCTTGCAGTATCAACACTAATTCCGCTGACTTTTATATTTGATCCAATTAGTAGATAGTCTGTATTTACACCATAACGGTGCACAGCTGATAGAAAGGGACTTTTTTGTAGTTTTTAAAGATATTACTGATTTTCTGAACTACCTTTTCAACTCCTCATGCAGTTGACTGTTACAGGTCTATACAAGTTCATGGTACAATGCATAGCTTCACATCGAGAGACTGAAACTGTATTTTCCTTTACCGTTCTGTTTTAATTTCACAATAAAGTGAATAGTCATATTATGTTTGATATTATTATGTTTTATTAAAGGTGGGGTAGGTAAGTTTCAGAAACCGGCTCGAGTGCACTCAAATTTGAAAGTACACAGCCGAAAATAATCCGCCCCTTACTTCAGACTTCCTTACAGAGCACCTCCTCCAACACACATGAACGCGCAATGCACGCCCAATTA